CTCTCAAACTGCACAGACCCAGATCTGGCAGTACATAACCTGAAGATAGATCTGGAACTCTGCAATTTGCTGTTGAACTCTACTTACAATTGAGTATTTGCAGTAACTACTCTGAGCTACTGACTTGAACACAGAGAGAAATTTTATGTTTATTTTTGCATTACTGGTTAAAAAAAATTTGTGGTCCCTTGCAATTAAGTACTTCCATAAAACAGTAATTAATATGGGACATGTAAAATGATGATTCTGTGCATTAATCAGGGTCTTCTCTAGGTATGCTCACTTGAATTTTAAGAATAGTTCCTCAAAGGGGCAGATAAAATACTGGCTGAAAAGAATTTTGTAAAATTCAATGTAAAACCATTTCTTCATTTTAACTGCAGAATGTGGAAACCATTTCAGATATTCTTCAGTGACTAAAAAAAATTCAAAGTGCTGTGGTGTGCATGCTGGACATCAGGTTGGCACCATTTTCATTTTAGGACCAACAAAACATTAATGTCTTCTGATGGAAACTACATGCTGACATGAGTGTCTGTTCTTGAGGAGTTATTAGAAACAAGATTTTCATGATGAGTTCCTTCTGGATATCAGATTGGCACCATTTATTATCAACTGAACCACAATGTCAATATAATTGTCCACCTAGGGAAAGCAGTAATAACCAGATTTTTAAGATGGCAATTATTACAACAAGAATAGACTCCGATCAGCACCATTTTCTTTACAAAAGAGTAGACTTAATACGAAGTCTTTCAGTGAAAACCCCAAGCTGATACAATCATTTACTCATGAGCAAGAAGAATGCCACCTTGGCAGCCATACTGTCTGATTGGACAACAATTTTATTAAGAACCAACTAAACTTGATATTAAGTTCTGTTAAAAAAAAACAAGTTTTGTTTAAAAAAAACATACTGAAGAAAAAAATAATTTCTGAAAAAAATCCATTCAGAAGAAGCAGTGATGTTTTCAAGATGGGCACTTTGGTGGCCATATTGGAAATCACTGGCACTAATTTCTTTTATTAAAAGCAAACATAATAAAAAGTCTTCTGGAGAAAACCCCATTCCAATAATGAATATTAATTTTAATTCATAAGGATTATTGATAACAAGGTTTTCAAGATAGCAAGCAAAATGGACATCAGATGGGCAACAATATCATACAAAACCAACTATATATATATATCACAAAAATTCTTTTAGTGAAAACTCCATGTCAATATCCATTTAATAAGAGATAGCTTTAACAAGATTTTACATGATGTCAGCTGTGGTATCAATAAAGTAGATCAGAGCAGCAAGTAGTCATCACAATAAGTATTTCAGTGATACGACACTCCATTCTGAAGGAATTGCAGAAATACATTTCTTGACATCAGACTGGCACCCATTTTATTTAGGACCAACTAACAATATAAGAAGTCGTCTTCCAGTGAAAATCCCATGGCATAACAACTTTTCCATCCAGGAGTAGTAGCAATAATATTTTCAAGACATCTATACAGGACCACAGAATGGTGTGATTTTAATTCAGGACCAACCAGACATGATTAAAATGACTATCCATTCAGAAATACAGTGCAACCTCCAACTTCAATGCAAATCCCTTCCCGCCCCAATAATGCAAATTCGGATATAATATGGTCGTGGTGTGGCTCCTGAAATTTCATATACATGTATTCATTTGCACATGAAAAGATATTTTTTTTTGTTCAAAGACCGTGAAAATAGTGTATTTATTATCATTTTGGGGAAGAGATCACATAGGAATTTGAATATAATATGATCATGGTGTGATTCCTAAAATTTAAATACATGTACATGTATTTTTCTTGTATCCAGAAATGTTTTTCTTCAAAATATGAGAAATAGTGAGTACAATGTTTATTATCTCTTTGGGTAAGAGTTCACAAATGAATTTGAATATAATACAATCATGGCATAGCTTCTGAAATTTAACAATTTCACCAGGTTCTTGAAGTGTTATTTATCAGAAATGTTTCTTACTACTAATCTCTGAGTAAAGCCAGTTAAGTTGTCTTTGTGATTGTCTTCAATTAATTCTGTATACAATCATTGCTCAAACAATAGCCAACATGTCTGTCTTCTTTAACTGCATACACAACCAAGCAGCAAAAAATGTGGTGGTTGATAAAAGATTCTCTCAGTTTAATAAACATAAAAATCAAAAGCCAACAGTGTGTTTGCTGGGCTTCATAGAGGCAGTAGAGCACCTAGAAGCCTGTCTGAGGTGGCTGGAAATTCAAACTGTGAACAAGTTCAAAATCCTCCAGCTTAGAAGCAATCTGGACTTTGCTAGAAGCCAACAGTTCATGGCAAAGAAGCAGACTCCAAAAGACAGATTTTTTAAAGAAATGATGAAATTTAACATTATGGAGTCATGCAACCAGATTGACTTTGTGCAATGATAAGTATAGTAGTTTTCACATGTTTTTGATATTCACAAAATCTGAAGTAAAAGTTATATACATGATGAAAGCACGTGTTCATTGTCAATTATTCTTGCTGTAGTCATTCATATAAATGGGCATACAAGTATTAATTATTGGGAATTTACAACAGACAAAGGTACCTGAAATACATCTGAGAAAAGTTTAGTTATAAAATTTGTAGACATCATTTCATTAAACCCTGAAACATAATAAACCATTTATGTGCATCCTCTTTCTTAATCTAATTTTGCTATCAAATTTTCCCATTGAATTCAAACACATAATGATCTGTGACAAAATTATTGAATTGTTCAAATCTGTGTGCAATTTTTCAATGGAATTACAACAATCAAGGATGAACGCATGCCATGACAGCACAAAAGTAAACAGTGTTGATACCATTAGACATGAATGCATGTATATGTGCCAATGCATTGTACTGTACTTGGAAAAAAGTAAATACTGTAAAACCCTACTATTTACATGATCCAATTTTTTGGATCCCAATTACTGTGTTATAGTGGGGTTCCATTGTAGTTGAAATAACAAGATTTTCATATTGGGTGTGCAAGTGCCTCCATTTTTATTTATGAATATGTATGAAGTTTGCTTCTCTGGGTCAGTGGTTCTCTCTGGCATTTACCCAGGTTCTTTCTACACTAACTATACTGGCCACCATGTGCTGCAAAATGATATTAAATACACTCAAAAATAAAAAATAAAAAAATCTACAAATACACTGGGCAAAAAGAAAAATGAATAAAATTACAAAACAAACAGCAGTCATACTGACTTTACTTTCTTGTGTCCCCAATTATGGTGCAGTTAAAATTTATGACCCCAATCTCTCACAAGTTATCAAGGCATGTGATTCTACCAATTTAAAGACAGTTTACTGCATGTGTTGTTTTATCCCTGAAAGATACCAATTTTTTAAAACTTAATTACAATTTAAAAATACAAAACAAGAAAAATTAAATAAATAAAATAAGTGGCCATATTTTTCTGTGTTGTATTCACAAACTACAAAACCAGCCAGAAGTCTACTAGGGCCAGAACCAGACTACTGGGGACCAAAACTGTTCCACTAGTGCAATAACTTGTGCAATAATAATAATAATAATAATAATCAGATTAAAACTTTTTAAATAACAGCCAACAATTTTTTAAAAACGAGAATTTTTTTTTGTGAGACAATCGTCTACATCGAATCTTCATTTTAGTATTGTTCAATTAGTGCAGTATTGATATTAGGATTTCATTGTGATAGTGAAACCTATCATCAGTGAGGAAATTTCTATGTGCCAGTTCAACAATTCTCTGAAACTGGCTTGCCCACAAATGGTCAATATCGATTTGTGAAACCAAGCTCCTTATTTTATTAAGCATTCATTTCACTTAGTTACCTTGCTATATTTGATCACAGTTATGAATGAGTCAGTTCATTTACCGTAGTTTATGTTACTTACACAATAATATTTATAAAAGTGATTGATCAAATGAAGTGTTCACTGGACACAAGACAGGAGCTGCTAGATTTTAGGTTTGATGGATTTTCCAGCCTTTTAATTTTTCTTTTATTCCAGCTCCTTTATTTGATTCACAAGACATAATTAACTTGGTAATACAAAGGAGGCCAGCTTTTAATTCAGTGCAACAATACAACAAATACCTTTGCAAATCAGTTATTAAAACACAGCCAACACCTAATTAGGTTCTCAGAGAAACACTCATGTCAATAGCTGTTATGGTAGATTGACTGATTTTATGTTTAATTACAAGAGGACACATTCCATATATGATGATTACACTTAAAAGGAACTAATAGATTGAACCAGAACATCAATTTCAATTGATACCAAAATTATTTAATTTGTATTTATTTATTAAAGTACTGCCTCCACTTGGCATAAGTGATATTTTCATTGATCGAAATTTCCTAACATATCATTAATTGTGGTGTACTACCGTTTGGAAAGAAAGTGTAAAAGATTGTTAACTTATTTTCAAATTTGATATTTTATAATGTTGATTAAGATTTCAGGTCCTATCTACTATTTGATTACAATTTTCTTCAAGTTCAATAAATAGGGATCAATTCATGGAGTATTTTCTGGTTTAAAAAAATGGGATCCATGCCTGACCTCACGTTATAAGTGGGTTTGCAAGTTAACAAGGTTAGAGTCATCAAGAGAGAGATGTATATGCTGATACCATCATAGAGGTGCAAAGATAATTCTGCAACACATGAAGGCCTTGTCTGTAACAAGATCAAAAATGGATAAAATGGCTTTTGTAGTGCACGTGTGATTTGAATTTTTTAAGTAGCTATAACTCAATTTTTCAGTCATATCACCACAATGTTTGCAGTGTGACAGTTTATAGAGATGTCTAGCACTGGAGCATTATGCCACAGACATGTAGCATGATGTTCCACCCAGTCACATTATACTGACACCAGGCTATCCAGTCTTAACACTAAAATCTTATTGCTGAGTGGATAGCAAGGCAGCTGTTAGTACCATTTTTATAAGTCTTTGGTATGACTCTGCCAGGGTTTGAACCAGCAACCTTCTGCATCCGAAATGGACACTCTAACCACTAAGCCACTGGAGTGGTCTGGCACCTGCTGAAAATTTGCAAATTTTGTGGCATAATTAATCATTTCTCATTGCAGGCAACTGACTAAACTGGTTAAAGTTATGTCTCCAGACTCAGAGACTACAGAGAAATGTTCATACCAGCACAAACTGTCACTCAAGTCCTAGTCCCACCATCCCCCAATTTATAATAGAAAAGTTGAAAATATGTGTAGGCGTCATAATGCATTACACTGTTACAAATGCAAGTCGCAATCCGCAGTGGAATCAATATACTGTGCCACCTATAAAGTCTTGCATTGTCTAATTATTGCCGAAGATTGCTTATCGAAGCAATGTTGCACAAAAAAAAATAGATATTGGCTCATATATTCAAGCTGCTTGGTTACGACAGTTCACATTTTTATGATTGTAACATGGCTGAGAAATATCACTTATGTCAGCCTTCCATTAGCCATCTGACGATCTTGTTAACGAGGCCTCAGCTGCTCTTTATCACACCTTGGCTGAAGAACACATATATTCTGTCTCCCAGACAGATCAATAACAGCAAATTAAGGTAGAGTGTTATTTTATATGTATACATCTGCATTAATGTAACCATAAAAATACACTCCAAATCCATTCAGCCTGATTCTAAGTTGATTGTCCATGCTCAAGGTTTAACAATGTTTCTTTGTAGGGGAAAAAGCCAAAAATACTGAAGAAAGTACCATATGTACTTGACCACAAGTTGAGTCAAAGGACAACTGCATAGACTCCTATCTGCCAGTGCATTATGCAATGGCAAATCAGGGCTTGACTTAAAAGCAAGTATAAATACAATACATCTACTTCAACTACATTTGAAGTATCAAATCACTTAACATCATTCTGGTGAAGTGAACTTCTCTGCATGTGTGTACAGTATACTAATGGAACAGGTAAGATATTGGCAATTTGAAAACGGATCGAAGAGGCTTGAGTCTAAAGAACGAAGCTAATTAAGCATCAACAAAAGTCACTCTGTTTTATCACAATTAAATCGAAAACCAGCAAGACATAAAAAGAAGCTATCAGACTCTGATAATTTGATCTCATGTATATAAGATAGAATTCTGCATAAGTAATGATTCAGCATTTTTTTTTATGGCCAAGAAATTCCTTAATGGGAGGGAGATACAATTTAGAAAGGACATACACTGAATCATGACCTGAACAATTTTCAAACTAAACAAATTTCCATTTATAATGAAAAGCTGAAAATGTCACATTCTATGAAATTTTTGCATTTATAATAAATTATACATGCAACTTAACCATGAATTTTTCAAACATTTCTGAAGTGAAACCCAAACAGAACAAATTTGAATTTCTGATTACCTAATATGCCAGAAAATGTCTCCACTAAGAAAGTTTTCTGTTACAGCTCTGACTGGTGATAATTTTATCCTTTACTTATCATTTACTAGAGTTTTATTTAACAATTCAACTTTTTCTCCAGAATTTTCCTGTCAAAGTAACAAAAGTTTGAAGATTTCTCATCAAATTATGCAAGGTCCTTCAAGAGTCTGTTTTGTATTTTACCATATGGATTCCAAACTATTCCTGAAAAACACAAAAACTTGGGCAGATATCCAGAATGGATTCCAAAATATTCTCAAGTATTAAAAGACTTTTATGAAAAATACAGTCCATACTTGATATCTACAAAGTCAAAGTTTTCTGTATATATGGGAATATTTTTTACTCCATTGGGAATCAATGGATGTTTTCTGTATATTGTGGAATCCATAGTGATTATATATGAAAGTTTTCTGTACATTTTGGAATCCATATAACAAAAAAACACTTACTGTAACTCAACTCCTTTCATTATAAATTTAATTCTGTAAAGTGTGCATAATCACTGTTGTTACCCCACAGGAAATGATAATAAATGTTTGCTACATTCAAATGGAACTTTGCACATCCTATACTCGGCACTAAGTCAAACATTAGCCATAACTCAAAATGTCAGAAAAGAGTAAAAATATCATTTGATCTAGATTTTCTTAACATAAAACCAAATACTAACGTTTTTTATAATCCAAGCAGTTCTTTTATAGTTACTGACAACAAAACAGTTACTGACAGTTACTGACTAAAAACAAAATTTGTGATGGGACATAACGGGACAGGACTTAATGGGTAAGATGAAAATGGGGAATACTATATGTCTCATCTATTGATATGGTTTTCACTGGGTTGGAAATTATAAAATTAAGAAAAACAACAACAACAACAACAATCATGATACTAAATTTGGTTTCAATCCAAAAACCCATTTAAAAGTTATTGGTTCTAAATTCTAGCCATTTTCCCTGTGGAAGATCTGGTATACTTTGAGGAACGAACATTTCTAATCAAAGACAACAATGTAGAAGATGAATGACAAAAGTGATGCTCAGAATAACAAACAAATCATTAAACAGAAAAACATTTTGAGACAGAAAACCAGACAATTCAATTATTTACATAATGAAAAATGCAATAAAGTAACAGTTCATTGTAATAACAGAAACTCACCCAAGTGTCATAGCTAGAGAAAAATAGAACCCTCAGCCCCTGACCACTGCTTGATAAGGCACTGAAAACATAAAATCGAAGAATCACTATCCCTTTCTTCAATTACAAGATAAACATAACTGCCCAGTTTCTCTTTTTCAAACTTCTTTAATATTGCAATTATAACAAAAAAATTTGTTATGTTCAAAACATAACATGTTGAAATGAAAAAAAAAACAATACTATGTCAGTTATTTGGACTGACATTACCTCTATTATGGACAATGAGGAAAAAGATACATACATGAACCATTTTTACTCACTAATAAGTCGAGTCAAACTGCCAACAACGAAGATCCTGTTCCGACATAGCATAATGTGCCTGCAGATCAGGGTGTATGTTGTTTGCTTTACTCATTGCTCTTATCAAGCTGTAGATCTGCCATTGCAAATCTTGGTCCATGCAGTTTGCAGTTGAACTTGTCTTATAAATAAGTACATACGGTACCTTGTATCATCTCAATATAAGCATTTTAATTAAAAAGCACTCAGGAAAACACAAATGCAAATTTCGAACAGTTTTATCATCATATTAAATGATTATTTGCATCAGTTAAAGAGACAGCTTGATTTGTAAAATCAGGAAAGCCAGCTTTTTCCCTTGCAACTGAGTAATCAAGGTCACATTTTATTTTTATGAATAGTATTTTTTTATCCATCTTAAAAATGCATAGGTGGAAGAAAATTTTTGAGGTAATAAACTCCAACAGCATTTTTTCCTCCTCTGGAAAAATTGTAACAACAGACTGACTTGAAGACTTCTGGCTAAGAATATTTTATAAATAGTCATCAAATGAGAGGTAATAAAGTTCCGTCATGAAAGTAGTTATATGGCATTTGCTTAAAATGAGTAAATAACATGTATTTTAAGTCGAGAGGATGAAAACCTAATTATATTTACGTTTTATAGCAGTTTACCATTTAGTTTCAGATGTATTTTGGAATTATTCACACAGAAAAATATCAACAGTTACATAATTTTTCTTCCCAATTCAAAGTTAAATAGCATATGAAAAAAAAATTTGCCCCTCACTAGATCTGAATTTTAGGGGGTTTTTTTTACCTCAGAAGGCAGCATATTTACAACCTGGTCATATAAATATATAAGTTTAAATTTGAATTTCAGTTGTTTTGTTAATGATATGGCTGCAAAATTATTTATTAATTATTATTAAAATTATTTAAAATTATTCATACCAGTCTACTATCAAAATTATTTTATATATGGAAAATTTAGTAATTCTTGGTCAAGCATAAAAAAATATTATAACTGTTGTTAGATTGACATGTAGATGCCCATAAATTGTGGACAATACAACCCCAATGGACCAATATTAGAATCATTTCAACAGCTTTGTGTCTAGACACATTTAAACATTTCTGGATTGATGGGGGTAATTTAGGATGTTAAATATGAATTTAATTATCAGTCAGATAGCACTGATGTGCCACTCCCAATACTGTCTCGACAACATTTGTTATTTCTGATAAAAACCTAATAACATTAGTGTCATTGTCAACTTTTATTAGTAGAACAGTACAAGGTCTCATAAAACTGATACAAAAAATATAATACCAGGACATACAATAGTATTTGTGTTGTGAGACTGAAAAAATGTCTTAAAAAGGGTACACTTCTCATTTTTAGTCCAAACTTGCTTTAAAAAATTTCATTACTAAACACATTTTGTCTCAATTCCAGATTTCTGACTTAAGTCAAGCAGCTGCTGAAATCTATACAGAACATCTTCAATTTCAAGGAACTTGTGATGCCAGGTGTACTTGATAGTGACTAAATCGAGAAGGGTCTTCCTTCCTGTGTACATACGAATCCCATATGCTCAACCAACTTGAAAAATCACAACCCCACAACAAAGTGTAGAATATCCAACAAAAAGGGACCAAACTCTTCTAATATGTGAATGTATGCATACATGACAGGAAAAGCAGTTTATGTCATTTTCTGAGCATTACTTAAATTTGTATTATAATCTATAAACTCGTGAAATTTAGCCAATTCAAACACTGAGAATATTCATTTTTTTCATTAACATAAAAATATCAGATACAAATATAATGTGGAAGGAAACAGATAGTTTAACACTACTGAACCAAAAATTATGATGTGATCATGCCAACTGTGAATGCTGCCATATTTACACAAAACATAATTTGATTTTTCACATCTGCCATTAAGCCATGATCTTTTGTTTTGATGAAAGTCAAGCGATACAACTACACATTAGCGCTTGTTGAATTGTTTCAATTGATAAAGGAAATGAAATAAAAATTGAAAACCTCAAGGGTATCTTATAAGCTAGTTCAATCGATAGTCTTTTAACTAGATCAGAAAGGAAAGCACAATGTGACCAGTCTATTGATATCTCCAACTCAATCTCTAATTTTATTTTACAATTAAAGAAT